GTGACCATAATATATCAGCTAGCATTTCAGGATATAATAGGTCTTCGTATATCTCAACCCAGGTTGGTTTCAACTCTATACGTAACATTTTGACTACATTGGACAGTAAGCATGCTCTCTGGTATTGCGCTAGGTCTGGTAATGCACAGCCTCCTAGTGTTCTAGGTCTCTTTAAAATTGCAAAACCTATTCTGGGTCCTTTTTTGTTCCATAAGAACTTTTGTAAAGTAGCTTGCCAGTTTCTAATTACTGATGGTGAGATAGTTAGAGGTGCAGATCTAAATAAAAATATAAACTTGGGTATTTATATTTTTAGATTAAATCTTTCTGTCCAATTTATATTCAGTTTGTTCCATTTGTTGATTATATTTAACAGGTCAGTGTGCATTGCATGGTGGTTTAGTGTCAACAACTCAGATTTCTGCAGCGGTATTTTGAGACCAAGATATTCCAGGTATTTAGGAACCCAATTAAATTTAAAATTACTTTTGATAAACTTTATATAATTTTGAGCAAGCTTAAAAGACATAATTTGCGATTTCGTATCATTAATTTTCAGTCCAGATAACTTTCCGAAATGTTTTAGGAGATCATTAAGAGTTGGGAGAGATTCTGTAGGCTTTGTTAAATAAAGAATCATATCATTGGCAAATAATGATAACTTATATTCTTTTGATTTTATTTTAATTCCAGATATTTCAGTTTTGTTCCTGATTGCATTGGCTAAGGGTTCGACTGCCATTGCGAACAGTAAGGGTGATAGGGGACATCCTTGACGGGTGCCCCGTTGCAATGGTATGGAGTTTGTGCAGGTCCCATTTATTTTGATTTTAGTTTTGGGAGAGGCATAAAGCCAAAACCCATCTGATCCAAGACAGAAAAGAGATAAGGAAATTCAACCGAGTCGAATGCTTTCTCGACATCGAGTGATAAAAACACAGCAGCTTGATCGGATGATTGGCAATGATTAATAAGTTCTATAGTTTTAATTGTGTTATCTGCTAAATCTCTCCCTGGAATGAACCCTACCTGATCTTTGTTTATATATTCTAAAATAAATTTATTGATTCTTATAGCTAGAGTTGCAGTGAGTATCTTAAAGTCTTGGTTGAGAAGAGAAATAGGGCGATAAGAAGCTGGGTTTAATGGGTCTTTCCCCTTCTTATGGATAACTACAGTTTGGGCTTCTTGCCACGAAGGAGGAAGGCGGCCTGTTATTAGCACTTCGTTGCATGCTGCTGTTAGAGGTCCCACTATTGTTTTTGCAAAAGTTTTGTAAAAATCCGATGGATAACCATCTGGACCAGGGGCTTTCATACTTTTCAATGATTTAATTGTTTCTAAAATTTCAGATTCTGTAAATGGTTCTTCAAGTGATAATCTATGACAGTCTCTCAGTTTAGGGAGGTTACCTTGTTCTTTTAAAAAGGAATCAATATGTGATTGGGTTGGATTTGTGGAGGAATATAGCTTTCTGTAAAATTCCTCAAATTCCTTAACTATGGACTCTGTTTGGTTAAGCATTTCACCTTCTGTATTTTTAATAACTGGTATTCTATTAGAGATTATTTGTGATTTGACTTTATGTGCTAGTAATTTTAAAGTCCTTGGCGATATGAACCAGTATTTCTGTTTGGTAAAAATTGTTTCCTTATTTTCGTTGTTTCTAGTAGCATTAGTTCTCTTCTTGCTGCTAAGAGATTTTTTTAAACATGTGTACTGGCAGATTGTTTATGTGTTTGTTCAAGTACTTTGAATGTTACTGGGAAGCTCAAAAACAAGGCAAGAAGTTGGTCCTTCCTTTAGACCAACTTCTGCTGTTAACAAGTGTGCTGCCTCTAAGCATTTAGGTACTCTCAAGCTGTTACAGCTAATACATTTGTAAACTGGCTTCATCTTGTGGCTGTGAATTCTGTAAGTCAATTAGGCTTTATATGAAAAATACTTTGATAATCTGTCCTGATTCTGTCGCTAATCACCTTCATCAGGTGGTTTTGAGTTCTGGTGTTGGAAAGACTGGGATCTCTTTGCAGTGGCAGTTACATTCTCATAATGCAGGTATTTGCTTCTATGGCTTTTATACCTCTAGATATAAATACATCAACTTTGTATTTACATTGTCAGTGATCACCTCTGCTCAGAATTCTAGATTAGAGGTGTGCAGTTCTAAAACATTCAGTAAAAATTGGATTTGGAATTTGAGGGAGCCCATCAGATCCATAATCCCAAATCTTTTACCTGCTTTCCCCACCCCACACTATTTTGCTGTCTGCTTTGCTTTTTGGTTTGGATTGTTCATAAAGGCCAGGTGCTTTTGGAGGTTGCAGTGCTGGGGGGAGGGGTGCTCTTGGTTTTATTGTGGGAAGCAGCCTTCCTGTTTGTGTGCTGGCTTGTTTGGGGTTTTGGGATGCAATTGTGGGGAAGCTGGAGGTTGCTTTGATAGATTAGATGGAAGGTTTTAACCGTGGCATTTCCCCCCATAAGACACAATGGATAACAAGATAGCTGGGGACATCTTGTTTGGGGGTCCATAAAATCAGACCCGATTGTCCAATCCTCTTAAAATCTGGGAGGTCTTTGGGAGAGAGGGAAGACTTGGTCCTGTAAACCCCCCCCCCCCGCTTCTGGCCCCCAGAAAGATCCCTTGTTCCATACCATTTTTTAATAATTCCATAACGTCCATAATTCTGTTTCGCATCTGTTAATACACAGAGCCAACCTGAAAAGGCATTTTTCAGGTATATTTTCTGCTCAGGAATTTTGGTATGTGCGCCCCATTCTAGATGGTCGACAGAGAAGCATCGTAATTAGTCGCTCTTTTCTGCTGGTGATGGAGTGCTTCTGGTACGGTGGAATTTGCAGCCCTCCATGCCGTTTGGGAGAGTGATGCCCCAGGAGGATCTCTTTGGGATTCTGCAGGCTTCCAGAGGAGACAGCAAACTCCCATCTTGTATTTTCTACTTCCAGTTCATTGGCTACCAACCGCTGCTGCTTAGACTTGAGTTGACCTGTCATAGTTACCCTAAAGGAGGGCAGCCCTGAATGTATGATACCCCCATCAAGTTATGCACAGAGGTTTTTTATTACCATATCCTCCTGTAACTCGTATATGAATTTATGATGACCACCTATTTTTTTAAATAAATAAATCTGGTCTTCTTTACTTATGATGACCACCTATTCAGGTGTTTTTTCCTGCATATATTTGAACCAGCAACTCCATTTTTCAAACCACAAAATCATATCAAACCACAAAATCATATCAGAATCATACCAGAAAAGGAGAACTGTAACCCACATGTATCTGCTGTCGAAACCCATACCAGTAACTTCAGCTTGTGTAGTTTGCTTCAGCTGCTGGCCAGAGAAGTCGTTAACTTCTGACCTTTCGTTTCTGCCCATAATAGCATCACCCCTTTAGAAACTTTAGAATTTGCAGGCTGGGTTCTAATATAGTTTGCTAGGGGGCTTTTAATAGCTGGTGCTAACAAGGTCTCGCGTGTCTTGCTATTTTAAGTTGGGAACTTAATACGTCTAACACACTGCACTAGAAAACAGTTGCTGAGGTGCTGTGCTGGTGTTATAAAGTGATGGTTGCAGAGTAGTTGAGAGCTTGAGGTTCAAGCAGGGAAGTTCCTGCTTCAATACTGGGTGGACTGTGAACTCACTGGGTGGCCTCACACTTCCGGTGATGTCAGGGGGTGTGGCATATGCAAATAAGTTGTGCTGATGAGTTGTGCTAATGAGCTCCTGCACCTCTTTTTCTGCGAAATGACCCCTGCTTATACTGAATACGACCGTTGGTCCGTCGAGGTCAGCAGCTCTCCACAGTCTCAAGTGGAAGTCATTCACATCACCTTCTACCTGAGATCATTTTAAACTGGAGATGCTGGGGACTGAATCTGGGACCTTTTGTATGCAGAGCAAGTGTTCTACCAATGAGTCATGCCCCCTCTCTTCTTTAGTGGGGCCTGGTCTACACATGCAGAGGAGTGATCTGATAAACGTGGAAGTTCTTCGACTTCAGGACTCTACTGTGTCATTCTGCTGCAATGCCTAGGCCCGGTAATGTGTGTGAAGCCTTGAGGATTTAAGTTTTAAATGTGCTTGACCATTTTATGTTCATACCGGATGTATATCCAGCAGTGCTATTTCTTTCGCGAGAGCAATTGCACATACGTGTATTCCCAGCATACAGGAAAAATGGCCCAGGCCATACCCCTTTAATTGTGATAAACATGCTTACAAACACATGTCATCAATGGACTTGTCACAAAGCTGCAGTTGGGAGTGTGCATGCTGTCTGGAGCTAATCAGAGGAAGGGTGGGATAAAAATATACTAAATCCTATGGCAGTTATCTAAACGCAGTAGCTCTCGAGCGTCTCTGCATGGTAGCGGTGTGTGTATCTTTCTGAATAAGTGTGCTGAGATACCATCTGAACTCCTTGGAAAAATATTCTGAATCCCTCCTCCTGCTTTTTTGTGTGTTCTGTTATGCAGGCCCCTTCACAGACGTCGTCACTACAAATCTGAAACTTGGCAACCCTACAGACAGAAATGTGTGCTTCAAAGTCAAGACTACAGCACCCCGCAGATACTGTGTGAGGCCCAACAATGGAATTATAGATGCAGGAACGTCTATTAATGTCTCTGGTAAGGCAATCCAGTGTGCCTTCTAATGCCACGCAGAAGTGCATGTTTCTTTCTTTTTTAAAAAAAGAACTATCACTTTCACACAGTTGCTTTCTGGATTTACCAGTGCAGTGGGAAATAGAACAGACTAGGAACGAGCGGTAAAGCTGAATTTGTATGATCTTGCATGGCCTCGTTAAGTTAGTGGGGCTCAGGTATTTCATCTTTTAACTATTAGACCCCCCCCCCAATGCGCTTATGGTTCTAACAGTAAATATTAGCATGGAGCAGCTGTAGGTATTGCCTGTTGTACTGGGAGACTTATGATTATTATTTTTTTGGCAGGCATTAAACGATTGACATGGTTTTTTGAATTAAATCTTCTGCATCCTGGTTTTGTGGGCTTATAACGTGCACTGGCCTCTGTGTGCTGATCACAAGCGGAGGGGACACCCCTCCTCTCCAGCAGCACATCTTGAAAAGGACCTATAAAACTGGATACGGCACCTTAATGTCATTGAAGTTGCTTAAATACTTCCGTGACAAAGCAGCAGCTCCGAAAAGAGTGGGTGGAACCAACCTAACGCTCCCATAAGATGTTAGGTGGAACTCTGTAGTGGGTTGTTTTGAGCAGTATATCATGAACTGGCCTATTCTGATGACAGTTTGTGAACAAAATCGAGAGAAAATAGATGGCACTGTCACGGCCAAAATCCTCCACATTGGGCTTAAGAGAAATGTCGAACATATGCTGAGCAGCATCCTGAAACCCATTGCTGAAACTTTAAACAAAATACAGAAAAATAGCTGTTTTATTGCTGATGTGGTTGAAATTTGGAAGGAACCGAGTGAACACTTAAAAACAGAAATACACACTTAATATATTACATTTTTAAAAGCTTGTTTTGTTGTTTACATATGAACATGGTTTAGTTTTTATCCTCTGTAGATGCAGCTCTACAAGAGCTGCGTGCCTGTTCGTCATGCACGCTGTCTTATTCTGCTTTTTGTTTGGGTGGGGGAGAAGTCAAGGAAGATGTATAAGATGCACACGGCCCCCTAAGCAAGAACATGCATAATTTACGTCTGGCTCAGTTAAAGATGTATACAACTGAAACAGAATATTTTGTAGCTCTGTGGCACATTGTAGCAGCTGACCTGCATGAGAGATCTATATCCCATTTGTTTTAAATAGGGTAAACAGAGTGTCATGACCTACTCCTGATCCAAGCCCTTCACCTGTTAAAAAAGTTCTTCTCCAGGTCCCTTAGGCTGAACTGGAATGTCCCCTGGGTGTCCCATTTCAACAATCACACCCTCAATTTTTTTTTAATTTCTGGGTCTCTCAGGGGTGTGGCAAAGAGATGTTATTTGGACTGACTAATCCGCGAGGGGACTGGTACTGTATTCACCAGAATAGCTTTTCCTAGGTTTATCTGATTACCTTTAGGTTATAATACTGAAGGTAACACATACTGAAGTCAGGAAAAATATACAGTGTAAGTTTATTTAACTGGTAAGAATGACTGCTTTCTTCCCCCCCCCCTTCAGATCTTAAAGTAACTGAGAGCTGGGCCTTGAGAGTATGCATTTATGGCGCTAGATCAGAGGTCCCCAGCCTTTTTGAGCCTGCGGGCACCTCTGGACTTCTGACACATCGTAGTGGGCGCAGCCACAAAATGGCTGCTGGAGGAGGTGGAGCCAGCCACAAAATGGCTGCCGCAGTTTACCTTCAGTCGCATAGTGAAGATCTTTTTGCTGTGGTGGCGGCTGCCGCCAAAGCAGTGTTCTTAAAGATCTGTTACAATCAAGTCTCCAGTGGCCAGTCAGAAGCCTTGCTGGGAAAAGCCCCTCCCACTTTCTAGAAACACTTGGTGGGCTTCAGGAAAGGTGTTGGCGGGTGCCATTGATGTTGGGGGATCCCTGTTCTAGAACTGTGACAGGAACAGACTTGTAAATACCAGTCTTCGTCTTTTAGCTGTTTTCAAAAAGAAACAGCATCCAAGTCCTTCCTGCCTGTCAAACACCTAAACTCCCTGCCGCCTCACCAGGATACCTCCTAACCCCTTTTCCACCTGACTCACCTTTGGTCAGCCGGTAAACTTTTTTTTCTCCCTCCTCTTTTAACATTCAAAATGTTTCTCTGTCCCCTTTTAAACTGTGATTGTCTGTAACTGTGGAAGGAAGACTCTCCCTTGTCCATCACAGAGAGATCTGCTAAAATTTGCAACGACCTTAATAGCATGTCAAATAAGAACTGGAAACAAGAATAAGAATAGGTCTTGAATAAAAGTAGGAGTAGGTGTTGAATAAGTATAGGTAAACATAAAAAAATGTATTCTGCATCCAGTCTTCTCTGCATTTTTGAAGCTTGGAGATAACACAAGGGCACATCCCGTTTGTTTTTAGAGGGAGAATTAAACCAGTGCTTAAAATCTATTAAAACCAATGGGATTGAAAATTGCTCAATTTTGCCAGGATGATGTTTTGTTAATACAGATATGCTTCATCATCCCCCCCCCCTTCCCAGTTGATTTCAAGGGCAGCTTAATTTGTAGAATAGCACTTGTATAGTTGTGACCTTGTAGCACTTCTGTTCATGCTAGTGCACGGTCTTCAAACGCTTAATGGGATAGACGGAAATATTATTTAATCATTCTGGCTGTGATGCCTGCTCTAATGACAGAATCAGCTTTGTCAAAGGGTGCTGGGCAGCTATGTGTACTTTTAATGAGAATGAGAAACACTGCGAGTTCAGCGGCATTCCCTCTTACAATCGAGGCCTCGTTTTATATTGTAAGGAGCCAGCTGTGATGCTGTTTTACAGTGTGCTTGCTGGTTGCATACATTCCTGGCAGCCAAGTTTGTTCAGTGTCTGGGTAGGAAGATAAAATGGCTCCAGAGTCTCTTGGTAGAGCTATGGGAACAGTCTCGGAGTGCTGGAATGAGGCTGTTAATTTCCTCTGGTTGAAATTATAAATCTCTTTACTGTCCAGAAATGCTCAGCCTGTAAATCTGAATGCTTCACAGCTAGGAGTACAGGACTTGTGTCAGGAGGCTTGTGCTGTATTACCAACCAAGCCACGTCGCAGTGTTTCTGCACTTTTTTAAAAAAAATCAGATTTAAGCATGGCTGACAGCACCACTGTAATTATGACAGCAATGGGTGGGAGCAGAGAAACTGCCCCTGCAATTTTGTGTGCTATTACCTTTAATTCCTTAAAAAAAACCTCAATAGTGACCATTATTATTTAGTAGTGGACTCTTTTCCTCTACTTTTCTCCAACTGAGCACAAGTTTTACACAAGAGGCTGCAGATGTGCTTATCAGGGGCAAGTGCGTCTGGAGCTTCAGCTTGTTTTTTTGCTCAAGTTTTAGAGAAGATGAGCAGCAAACCATCCTCCTGCTGTTTTTTTAGTTTCTTCAGATAATGGTGCAAATGAGAGAAAGTGCTTCGCTCTCTCCCAGTCTGTCTCCGTGTGTTCTGGGTGTGTGTGTGTGTGTGACAACCACTGGTCCTATATCACCTGATGTGCTCTCAAGAGAATCCTGTGTCTGATTGTCTTGAGCACTACTTGTATAGGAAACTGTTAAGTATGCAACTCAACAACGATCTAAGTAACAAGCGAATCAGCTTTATTAAGAACGAGAACATCCGAAGATCACGCAGAACACGATGACACACGACAAACAACAGTGGAGCATAGCTCCCTTTTAAACAATCCCGGGCTGGTGTAGCCACGCCCTCACATAGTTAACGTCCAATCATAATTCAAAGATAACATCTAATCATTCATCTTCCCTTCACCACAGTTCTCTTACATTTAATTGGTTACACATATGCTTTAGCCAATGAGATTGTTCCAGGTTAGAATCCTGGCTAAGGTTCCAAGCTTAACATTACATTTCAGTGGTGAAGACACAACAGAAACATTTGTTTGCTCTGCCACATTTGTTTGATCTGGTAGCTTGTTAGCACTGTTAGCTTGGTATTCATGCCTCAGTTTAAGTGGTCCTTCAGTGGCACATGGAGAAGCTGAAGGAGATGGAAGGGCTGAGAAACTAGGCCTCTCAATGCTTTAAAATTCTACTGCGAATAAAGCAAGGGATGGACCACATAACTGCAAAGTCAGTGTCGGACAAAAGCTCGATTTTATGCTTCGCCCCCTTAAAATTGATGTTGATGCTTAATTGTTCACTCAGTGCATCTGTAGCTAATGCACTTGTTATCTGTTTAGAAAGCTAAAATCAAAGGATTGGGATGCCAATCAATGCAGTTTAAATCCAGCAAAGAGAAAACAGAATGTGGGACAGCTGTTTTCCGTCTGTTGGTGGTTCACCAGTTTAAGTCTGTCTGATAGTTTCCATATTTCCTGTATCATCTAAATAGCTTATTTTCAGTGACTTCATGAGCATGTGGTTTTAATTTCTTGCATAACTCTGTAAAGCGTAGCTTAATGATTAGTTTTTAAAATCCTGTACTACCCTCCAAAGACTCACAGCAAAAGCCACCAATAGGTTTGGAAGGATGAAACATCAAAATACAGCCTCTTCCACTGTCTGTCCCTGCCCTTCTTTCACTTGTCTTAAGACCATCGAAAGCCCGGTGTGCGTGTGTGTGTGTCAAATGCTTTAGGAAGTTGCTTGTTCTCTGGAGACTCCAAGAGGATAGGATTCCGTTATTCTGGGGCAGAAAAAAAAGGAGCATCTCATCTTGTTAACTCAGTTGCATAGCGTTGGGCTAGAAATACCCCTATGGGGTAGGGCGGGATATAAATTTAAAGATAAATAAAAATAAGATAAAAAATAAAATAATAGACTCATAGAATCTCACAGAGTTGGAAGGGGCCATATAGGCCATCTAGTCCGACCCCCTGCACCATGCAGGATCAGCCTAAAGCATCCCTGACAAGTGTTTGTCCAGCCTCTGCTTAAAGACTGCCTGTGTGGGGAAGCTCACCACCTCCTGAGGCAGCTGATTCCACTGTTGCATATCTCTTCCTGTCAAAAAGTTTATCCTA